AGGGAAATGATGAGTTAAGCTGCCATATCTATATCTTTTCAGGTTTGAAATAACTGGATCCTTCCATAACATAAACCTGCTGTGATTTAGAAAACATATCTACCGTAGTGGGATTCTAAGTCAGAAATAATAACTAGCATTTACTGAGAACTTCCTGTATACCAGATACAGTGCAAAGGCCTTACATACATGATCTCATTTAAATCATCATAACACTTTGAGATGTAGATATTATTATATCCATTTTACAGAAGTACTAGATAAGACTTTGAAAAGTAACTTATCCAAGAACACACTGCTAATAAGTGATAAAGCCTGGTAAGTCTGACCCCATAGTGCATGCTCTTAACACTACTTGACAGAGGGCAGCTGGTCTGGGCAGAGGGAAAAGGCTGTCATGCAGTCACACTCACAACCTCAGCCAACAGAAGGCGAAGCTGTGGAGTTGGGCAGGCCAGCCAAAGTAGTCCTATGTTGGGGTGAGGGCCTGAGCCTTGGTACTCCTGCACCAACCAGTCACAGGACTTAGGCTGCTTCTGGGAAGGGGGTGTGCTCGTGGGGAGAGGTGGCTCTCTTTGCCAACACTCAGTTGAACACCTGCTTCCATCCTCAAGATAGGGACCTAGGCTGTGCACCACAGCATCCACTCCAGGACACCATTCACCTTCCAATCACCTTTCACGTGCACAGGCCTCCTAAAGACAGAGCTCTGACTCTGACTCCCCAAGGGACAGGTTCCATTTCTCTTCTCTTGATGTGACCTCTCAGTTGTGATACCTTGGAATGCGAGTGTCAGACATATGAGACGGAAGAGTGGGTAGAGATCGCTGGACCTAAAGAGAGACCTTTAGGTCTCAAGAGGGTGCTTCCTCAGGCAGATGGTACCTGAATTGATGCGTAGGGGAGGAGGTGGTTATCTCAGGCAGAAAAGTCAGTTTGAGCATACTGTGAGAGAAACGACAGCATCCTGTTGTCAGAAACTATTGTACAGAAAGTGCCTTCAGCTAGTCCAAATGGTGCCCTTGTGCAAATTTTACAAAGGGACACACGTGAAAGTCTAAATTCGTGATTATACTATCAGTAATACTATTATTATACTCTAGTACACGGTATCTTAGTGAAAGACAGCTGAGATAAGACTAGAGCTGTAGACGAAGGTAAGTGTGACAACCCTGTGCCCCCGTTCCATGGTGCTCACTTTCCTGCACAGGGATCGCCAACACCCAGGCACAGGTTAGGTTAAGGTCTTACATCCCCGCACAGCGGCCACTTGCCATCCGTTAAATCAAATCGTTTTCTAAATCTGAGCCTCTAGTTTTCTCATCTGCAAAATGGGGATAATGGAAACTCTCTGAATTGTCGCAGGTGATATGCGGCATTTGAAATTCTCCATCTTCCATATAAAGCGGTTTACTAACGGATGCTTGAGCTGGGAAAACAAGAACGATCTAAATCCAGGAGAGACGACAGTAAGGCGGGGCTGTCCGTAAACAAAAATAGTCAAAACAGATTTTAAAACTCATTCATACTACTCTCTTGCTGGGTTTTGGCCATGTGGCTGCTGCAGTACAGTTTACATGTTAAAGCTGCAGGGACGGTGGTCTGGTACTTTCTCCCCAGTACAGGGACCGGTGCTCGCTGGAGGTGCGCTGGAGAACCGAAGCAGCGCAAGGGCCCACACCCTCGCGGACCGCACGTAGCGGAGTCCGGGCCCGCCCCCGCTTCCGACGTCACGCGCCCTTGCGCTGCCCCGCCTCCAGTCGCCGCGCCACTGACTGGATGCCTGGGTCTCACTATCCTCACTCCATCGGCGGAACCAATGGCTGGCATCGCCGGTAATTCGTGTGCGCGAGTCGCACGATGTCGGCAACAGTACAGACCAATCACAGCGCCGAGGAGGCGGGGCGGGAGCCCTTACAAGCCAATAACAGCAGGAGAAGCCGACTCTAGTCTCTCGGCTCCACCCCGAACCGGAAAAGGTGGGTTTCCGGACGCTGCACCTGCCTGGGTGTAGGTGTAGGTGAGCCGCAGTCTCCGCGAGACCTTCCAGGTGAGAGTTCGGGGAGAAGAACTCGTAGGTGAAGAAGGGGGAGCGTACGGGCTCCGGCCCTATTCTTCGCGGGATTGAAGGGATCGTGGTTGGGCATGGATGCGCGCTCAGGGCCAGATAGGGGCACCTATACCCAGTGTGAGCGCGGCGGGGTAAAAGCGGTGTGAAATTCTTAAGTGATGGAGCTGGGCTGGGCTTGTTTCTTGCCCTTGTTTACAGTTGTCCGGAGACGGGACATATTAGACTGTCGTTATAGCACAAGGTTTCTTGCCCTTGTTTACAGTTGTCCGGAGACGGGACATATTAGACTGTCGTTATAGCACAAGGTTTCTTGCCCTTGTTTACAGTTGTCCGGAGACGGGACATATTAGACTGTCGTTTCATCACATAGAGTGATGAAAGTTTTACAAAACAGAAGCATTTCAGAGGAGATAGAATTTGTTGTGTATGTGCTTTGGGGGTAGTGGGAAGGGAAAGGCGTCTAAGAGGTTACTGAAGGTTGACTAGGAGTAGGATAGGAGGACATTACCAGCAAAGGGATGGTGTTTCCATGGGCAGAGAAGAGAAAAAAAGCAGAAGCAATGAGAGGTCAGATCATGTAAGAATTTGAAGCGAAGGATGACGAGGGTGAGAGGTGAAGAGTGGAGGGCCTGTCAGGGACTGTTTTTGCATCGTCGATGGTCTTCCTTCGTCTTTATCCGTAGGGGAGACACTCCCTTGAACTTTAAGGGCTTTAAGAGAGTTAACTCTGCTGTTTAGGTAGATCCTGACATTGTGTCGTAAAAGTAGAGTCTATCTAGGAAGGACAAGCTCGAGGCAGGGCAACTCCAGCAAATGAGGGAACTGGTGCATTCTGGGCTTAACCAAGGTAAAGGGTCCGACATTGGTTGACAACTCAGAAACGCTGTATCCTTTCTCATCTCCTGACTGAGTCTTTAGATCTGATGCTCCCTCTACTCAAAACATCCCTGTATTCTCCCCACCCCTTTTGCTATACTCTTTTTAAATCTAGTCTCCTCCAGCTCATGCTCCAGGCCTCAGTTTAGGAACTCTTTCTGGTCCTCTGTGTTCTCATAGAACTCTGTTTCCAACCCTGTGTTGTTCTTATCATATACTTTTAAGATAGCCTGGTTACTTCTTTGTATTCCTCACTAGATTTTATGTTTTGTGAAGTTGAGTGAGCACAGAAGCTAGCACAGGGGCTGTACCTAGTAGCACAAATTAAATCGGAATGAATACATGTGTATTTCAAGAACCAAAGAAGGAAAGTATTTCAAGAAGAGAAGTACCAAATCTCTCAGACTGGTCATAAAATAAGTTTCAAAGACTGTTTTGGTAGGTAGGAGATCCTTAGTAATTTTAGTAAGAGTAAATTCAGTACAGTGATAAGAATAGAAAGCAGATTGTAGATGGTGGAGAGTAAATGAGAAATGTGAAAAGGAGGACAACCTGCATAATAGAATACTCTTTCAGGAGGCTTGGGTAAACTGTAGGAATTATTCTACTCTTACTATAATATTTGTATGCGTTACTATTTATGATTATAGTATAGCATAATGGATGACAGCATAGGCTTCCCCACTTAGTATTTTTGTAATTTGAGAAAGTTGCGTGATCTTTCTCAACCTGAGTTTTTCATTTAGAAAGCGGAGATAATAAAAGTACCTACTTCATGAAAGAGTGATAAGGATTGAAATCTTTAATATAGAGAGAGCATGTAGCACACTTAGAACACAGTTTCTGGCACGTAGAAAGTGCTCAGTAATTGTTAGCTTCTTAGAATAACTATGTGTCAGGTCCTGCGCCGAGTACTTCATGTGCATTCTTTCTTGGACTCTTTGGAAGAATTATTATTCTTTTTTTCTTCAGCTTTATTGAGGTATAATTGACAGATAAAATTGTAAGATATTTAAAGTGTAAATCATGATTTGACGTTATGACAAGATTCCCACCTAGTTAACTATTATTATTCTTTATATTTTGCAGATGATAAAACTGAGGTTCAGAGAGGTTATGTAACTTGCTCAAGCTCGCATAGCTAGTAAGTGGTATTGGTTCAGCGTTATCAAATTTAATAACTTCATGAAAAAGGAAGATTAGAGCAACTATTTTATTTTGCAGTTTAGAAGATCTTTGAAGACATCTTGGTGAGAGTGGGAGCTAGCTTGCAAGTAGTTGATTGAATTTTGTGGATGAGAGTTAAGCAGTCAGAGGCTTTATTTTGATCTCTTCTTTGAGAAAGAAGTTGGTTGGTTCAGGGAAACAATTGAGACAGTGGCTTGGGCGAGAGTGATAGAAGTTAGAAAAGCTTTTCTCAAGAAAGGAAGACTTGAGTATGTTTTTAAACTTGAAAGGATGGACTCAGTGAAGAGGGAAAGGCAAAAGATAAGAAAGGTTGAGTGAGTGATGGACAAGTTCTTGATGAGGTAATATAAAAACACAAGACTAGAGAAATTTTGAGTTTGGGATGGCACAGGATGTAACAAACAATAGTTAAGTCTCTGTTGTATAAGTCATTTGAGAATGAGTTGGACAAAAGAATAAGGAAGGTTATAAAGTGAATTCAGAGACCTAAGCTTCCCAATATCCTCTATGAGGAATGCGATAAGAGGTCATTCTGGGATGTGAGGGGAGGAATGGGGAGTATTTTAAGCACTAAGTACTTCTGAGACTTCAAATACTCGTTTTCAGAGTGTTCTGTCATAATTCATAAATTAAGAACAGCAGTGAACATTTTTAAGAAAGTAACATTCTTCATAAATTTCTCTATTTGATTTGGTGACCTATTAAGCTTATTTATTGTATAAGTAAAACATGCTCATGAAAAAAGTTTTAAGAAGCTGTAAAACGAGAAGTAAAATTTCCTCTTCTCCTTTATAACAACCTTCCACTGTGCGTGCAAGTGTACACACTTACTCCATTACCCCCTTGATCTCTTTTCCATAAAAATGTTCCCCATGCATCCTTCCATACAATTTCTGTGTTTATGTGTACGTGTGTATGTACATATGCATGAAAGTCCATAGATAAAATACATAACTCTTCACAAAAACCTAAGTGGGACTCTTGCTATACACAGTATTCTGCAACTTGCTATTTCACTTACCATTGACTCTTAGACTTCTTTCTTTGTAGAACAATATACATTTTCCTTCTTTTAAGTGGCTATATAATTGTCTATGGAAGGACTTAACAGAAGCTATTAACTCATTTCTTGTTGATAAGCTTGTTTATGTTTTCTTTTTCTGTTTTCTTTTTGTTTTTGCTATTTTAAGCAGTGCTTCCTTCCTTCACTCTTGGTGTGCCAGTCTTTATGCATTTGCATGAGAAAATTGCTGGGTCAAAGGGTATATTTATTTCGAATCCTGATAGGTATTGTGTATTTGTTTTTATTTACAGAATTATAAAGCTGTCCTCAGAGATCCGAAAAATGGCAACAAATGAAAATGTCAGCATCTTTAGTTCAGCGTCCTTGGCTGTGGAGTATGTAGATTCACTGTTACCTGAGAATCCTCTGCAAGAGCCATTTAAAAATGCTTGGAACTATATGTTAGATAATTATACAAAGTTCCAGATTGCAACATGGGGATCCCTGATAATTCACGAGGTCATTTATTTCTTGTTCAGTTTACCTGGATTTTTGTTTCAATTTATACCTTACATGAAAAAGTACAAAATTCAGAAGGTGAGTATGGTGGACTTGCAATGGAATGTTATCATTAATGTTGTCGAATACTTTTAAAATGTAACTTTGTTTTGAGAGACTCTAGATCAGGGCTGTCAATAGAAATATAATGAAGCCACATAGGTAATTTTCAGTTTTCTGGTAGAATACATAAAAAGGTAAAAAGAAATAGGAAAATTAATTTTATATTTTACTTAACACAATAAATCTAAATTGTTAACATTTCAAGGAGTAATCAAAATTAAAAAGTACCTAATGGGATATTTTGTTTTTATTCTCATCACGTCTTTAAACTCTGGTGTATATTTTACACTAATTTTAGCCCATCTTAATTTAGACTAGCCATATTTAAAGTGTTCAGTATCCACTTGTTGCTAGTTGCTACTATCCTGGACAGCATAGCCTTAGATCATTATCGATAATATTTCAGGAATACTTTTTTAAATTGCACTTTAAGTAGATATGATGTTTATCTAATTTGGGTTTATAAATTTAATTTTTAAATTAGCTGGAAAGGATAATTATGGGGATTGGTAGGTATTATTTTGCATTTTACTCCAGCTCCTGATGTCTCAGCACCTAAGTGTATGTTAATATTCTAAGACCCTGGTCAGGGCTATCAGAGTTTTGTTTTTTCCCTAAATATAAGGTAGTAGTTCTGCAGCATTCATGTCATCCCTGATAAGAGGTGACGATACTCCTAGTTTCTGGGTGTTTGCTTCAATGCACTAAACGTTTCTCAAGAGCCCACTGTGCATGACAAGGTGTTCAGATCTACCCAGTGCCTGTTACTTTTAGACACGGGGAAAATAGTGACCTATACTAATGTGTGTAGAGTAATGGGTTTGACGGTTCCCAGGAAAGAATCTGGACTAGAGAGAGGATTCATCAGCACTTGGTAAACCCATGAAAATTCCTAATTCTTACCGTTTACTTTCCTAAAACTCAAGAGTCACACAGTCTTGGTAGAAAGTAGACATCTTGAAAGTATTCATCTATAGAAACTAATTTACACTCATTGAGTCTACGTTGGTTGGCAGTCAGTGCACAGTCTCACTCATAGTCTCCTAGCTGCATCGCCTCTCCCAGTGAGTCTCGCTCTAAGCCCATACTGACCTCTCTGCAGATAGTGCAGGGGGTCAGGTGCCTGTAGACTCCAAGCCAAAGGAAGAACAAAGGGAAGAGGGGGAAGAAAAAGAAAGGGATGTGGCCCAAAGGAGAGTATCCTGTTACCCCAAAGGAGAGTATCCTGTTGCCCCAAATTGAAGACACAGAAGTTCCAAAATGCTTTTTATAAAATGGCCTGCCTTGAAAGGGAGAATTCAGTTTGGATGTTTAAAGTTCTCATGCATGTTTGGGATGATTCTGTCTGCTATGTGCTAACCCATTGGTTTGCTTAAGTGGCTGTTCTGTTTTATGGCTGACCAGGCCAAAGTATCCTTGTCCTGCTCCTTGCAGTTGACTCATTGGGCAGAGGTGTTAACCTTTCTAGAGAGACGAAGACTTTTTTCAGTCAGGGTTTTAGGAGTGGCTTGAAAATAAAATATGGCAAAATAAAGGATAAGCAGTCATCTAATTGGTTGCAGGTAGTTATTTGCAGACAGATTAAAAGGCTATGGAGTGTGGCTTCAGGTCTGTCTGCAGCGTATCTTCCTTTGAATTTCACAACCCTGAAAGTTTCTGCTTTGAGCTTTTTCGATACTAAAATAAATTGTGATAGTAAAACAGTACAGGTTTTCACAATGTAAGGGGACTTAAAAACAAGTAAGAAAAGGTACTGCAAGTTAATTGTAGTAGCTCCCATACTGGAGATATTATAGTTAAAAAAATTTCATTGGCAGATTTCTGAATTTTTAAGTAAGGACGTTTAAAACAAAGCAGTAACTAGTATTATCACCATCTTTTTATAAAACAAAAGTACTTTTTCTTATGTAAGAGTAGCCCTTTAAATTGGATAAATTTAGTTTTTTCGTTTGTTTTGTTTTTTTTTAATATGGCTTGCTAGGCAAGTTGATATCCTGATGAAGTTTAAATGAACATTTTACTACATTGATCTCACCTCTTGTTTTGACCTGAATCTGTGAACTTCATCATCTGTGGGCAGTAGCTCTCCATTCTTTGGGAACCATCAGACATTGAGCTGAAGTCCTTCCCGCTCGGGGAGTTTATAATCCTGTCATTGTGTATGAACAAAAATGCACCCATTTCTGGGAACGAATACTGCCGAATGTCTGGAAGCATCGATTTACTTGTGTGGTAAAGGCTTCAGTAGTTGAGAGACCCAGCTCTAATCTTAGCATAACTCATTGCTTCTTTGACATTCCTGGTAAAAGAAGTGAATGATCTGTGGGGAGCAAGGACTGGAGAGTTATTCATACTGGTGCTTCTTTGGTTTGAGGTGTTATGTTCATTATGCCTGGGTTTGTCTAATTTCTTTATCTGTTTAAAGTAGTAATCGTAGTTGTCAAAAATTTAGAAGGGGAGGATGTTGTGATTCCTGGGCTTTAGTTACTATAACATAATAACCGTAATATAGAATTCACATAACATGGAATTAATTAAGTAACATAATTGAGGTCTCATTAAACATTAGAGAAAAAATTAGGAATTTACTTCTGGATGTCAGGCTAACCTGATAAACAGAGGCTAATGCTAAATATTGTGCTTTTTTTCTATAGGATAAACCAGAAACATGGGAAGGCCAATGGAAATGCTTTAAAGTACTTCTCTTTAATCACTTTTGTATCCAGTTTCCTTTGATTTGTGGAACTTATTATTTTACAGAGTATTTCAATATTCCTTATGATTGGGAAACAATGCCAAGATGGTATGTAGACATAAATAAATCTTTATATAAATAAAGATTTGATTTTTAGACTCAGTCGTGGCTTGCTATTCAGTTAAAATATTTTTAATATTTATCTTCTTCATTTGGTTAATGTTTGTTCTAAACTTTGGAAGTTAATAAAATAGAGAAAAATAAACCATAGTAGAAACTTAAAATATTCCCATTTTTAGATCTTTCTCTATTTTAGTGTAATATTTTATTGGAGGTGCTTATACTAAGAAAAAAATATATATTTTAAGTCTAAAATGAATGAAAGCAATGAGAGAATAGTTTGTGAGGTTTATAAAAATTATGTCTAAATAGACACAAATATATATTATCTGAGTACAAGTATTTGTGTTCAAATAATATTTGTATTCAAATATATGTTCCTAATATAACCTGAATACAGATACACCAATATATAAATATATACTTTTTCTATATAACTTATATTTAACATATAAAAGAGTTCCTGTGTATGTGTCATTTGTATATAAAGTATTTTTTGCCCATTGCACTTAAGGTTTTCTCTTTGGTAGAAAAAAGTGATGATTTTACTATTATGAATCTGAGTTCAAATCCTTCAAAAACATTGCTCTTTTTCCAGAAGTTTTGAATTTTGTTTCTGAACTCTGATTTTAAACCTATGGATTTTTTAAAAAATGAGTTAGAATTGGTATAGCAGTTAATCTCTTTAACTCTTCAGGTGATACCATTTAGCCACCTTGTATCTAGCAGTTTTGAGAATTCATCAATTAGTACATCCAATTAGGTGAAGCAGCTAAGTGGGTATTTGGTTTGATGTAATGTCTCAAGCAGTGATCCCAAGTAAACGTCTAGATTGTACTTTATACTCATGATGGTATTTTCATCTTAAAGGTATTTGCTTCTGGCAAGATGCTTTGGTTGTGCAGTGATTGAAGATACCTGGCACTATTTCTTACATAGGCTCTTGCACCACAAAAGAATATATAAATATATTCATAAAATTCATCATGAGTTTCAGGTATGTTAGAATTATATTCAATACATTTTTTTTTTTTTGCTAGAGGCAAAGTGTCATTTTTATCTCTTGAGCATTAAAAAAAATTGTCAGTGAGGTTTATTCCTTTTTCCTTTGGCATGATTATTAAGAACATGTCACACAAACACACGCACGCACGCATAGCCAGTTCTACAGATTTTCTTTAGTATATTAATTTCATGGTAAATTGAGACCTGAAAGAAGAATGTTACATGAAATAGTTCAGACTCTCTTCTTTGCAGCTAGAGCACCATCCTAACACAGCTGAATACCTGGCAGTAGTGATGTTAGGGTTATTTAAACAGGACCCCAAAACAACAAACCTTTAATCTTTAGAATTACCAACTTACTTTTAACACATTCCCACCACGCTGCTGACTCCCAGAAAAACAGTGGTTTTTATCAGGACTACTTTTGATTTATATTTGTCGAACTGGTTATGTTCTGCATTGATCCCGATTACATGGTATGCTGCATCAAGCATCCCTTTCTTAGCAGAATAAATTCAGATGCATAAACCAAAATCAGAGTTCAAGTTAATTGTTTAATGTCTTTATCTTAAATCATCAAAGACATTTATTATGATATTGTTAAGGACATCCCTAGACCTTTTGATGTTTGGTAGGAGCAAAAGATTTTTTTTATTGAGAAATATTTCTATTGTTTACATATATATGGCTAGATCTACTATCATTACATATAGAAAAAACAATTTTATGAAACTATATTTATAAATAAACTAAAATATATGTATCAGGGTTCTCCAGAGAAAAAAGAAAGAATAGGAGATACACAAGAGATTTATTTTAAGGAATTAGCTCATGTGATTTTGGGGGCTGGCAAGTCTGAAATATATAGGGCAGATCACAGGCTAAAATTGAGGTGAGATGCTGTTATAGTCTTGGATCTGAACTCCACAGGCAGCACGCTGAAAACTCAGGCAGGGCTTCTGTGTTGCTGTCTTGAGATGTCCTTCTTCCTCAGGAAAACTTACTTTTTGCTTTTAAGGCCACCAACTGATTTGATGAAGCCCACCTATGTTATGAACGGTACTCTCCTTTACTCAGTCTACTGATACTAACGTTAGTTGCATCAAAAAAATACCTTTACAGCAACATCCAGATTGGTGTTTGCCCAAGCAGCTGGGCACCATAGCCTAGTCAAGCTGATGGCATAAAATTAACCATCACTATATAGTAAAGTATTCTTATTTATTTATTTTAGGCTCCATTTGGAATGGAAGCTGAATATGCACATCCCCTTGAAACGCTAATTCTTGGAACTGGATTTTTCATTGGAATTGTTCTTTTATGTGATCATGTAGTTCTTCTTTGGGCATGGGTGACCATTCGTTTGCTAGAAACTATCGATGTCCACAGGTGAGCTATGGTTTCTATTGTGTCGTAAGGTATCATAAAATGTCTTCATTTTCATGGTATTAAGATTATCTTTATTTCTAAGTAGACTAATAGGAGAAGTTAATCAATCTTGTTTTAATATTGTTATTTTTACGAAAACAAGAACATAATCATTGAGGAAAAGTTCAAGTTATAGACATTTTTATATCTGCCTCTGGTCGTTGTCATTTTTACAGTGAAAATAAGTTCATTTAGTTAAATGAAATAAAATTTTGATAGATTTTTCAAAACTGCCCTCCAAAAGCATCCCTGTTTACCTTCCCAGCAGAAGTATGTAAAAATGCTCTCCTTCCCCCACCCCTCCTAGCCTGGGTGTTAGAGTCTTCTTCATCTTTGTCAAGAGGACCGAGAGCTTTCAGTGCAGTGATCATCAGTGATCTGCTTGCATTTCTCCGAAGACCTGTGAGGATGTGCATCTGTTCGTGTGTTTATTGACCAATAGTATTTTTTCTTTGAATTACCTTTTTATAGCCTTTGCCCATTTTTCTGTTAGTTTCTATGTCTTAAAACCTATTCGTGTAAGCTTTGTTTGTTACATATGTTCGAAATATTTTCTGTCTGTCATTTGATTAAATAACTATAATTTAGGATCAGCAATTCTTTTATCCTTCTGTAACGTATATAAGCCTAACTCTTATTTGGAAAAAACATTGAAATATTTAGCCTTCACCGAATAAGAGTATTTCTGGTCTCACTGCCCAGTACTTGTAATATTACATATTTCACATGTTCCTTTCTGTTGATTGGGAGATATTTGTGGTAAGTTATTTATATTTAATGCCTTTTAAAATGCCTAATATCTGAATTTTTTATTATTTTAAAATTATATATTCATTGCATTTTAACTTGAGACTTATTACTATACCCATAAAAACATACTAAATTCTAAGAATGATTTTTAAACCACTAAAGTAATGCTTCATGCTTCCAATTTTAGGCAGAGGATATTTTGTAGATAAATTATAAATTATGTCTCTTTCATTCTTTTCTTCCATTATTCTTTTCTCCTTTTTTCTCAGCATCCTAAAGGGAGGGAGAGATTGGGGTGATTTATACTAGTATAATAGTGGCTATCAGATTTTAGATAAATATTAGAAATAAAGGAGGATATTCTGTGTTGATATTCTTTTTGCAATTATGTCTATTCCCCCAACTACAGAAAGTACACTGATATTTTAATTAATTGCAGTACATTTGGTTCCAACTCGTCGTCTGAAAAAATAAAAGTTGCAACACAGAGATTCTCAGGTCTAACCTTCTTAATGCTTGATACTAATTTCACATAACTTTTCCTAAAAGATATATATAGTAGTATGGGCTTTATAGACTATGGAGAGAAAACTCCTAATTTCTATAGGTCTCTTAAGTTTTTTTAATTTCTTAAAGTGGTTTCTAGCATTCATGTCATTTTCTGTTTTTGTCTTTTATAAACATATCGAAAGACTAAGACATAAAGGGCTTAGGTAAAGTGGAATGTTATTTGAATTAGTTAACACTTATGACTACTAATGAAAACGTCAGTTATTTGAGGTGCATTTCTTTTCTTCATGATCTTTATTATTTTTATTTCAGTGGTTATGATATTCCTCTCAACCCTCTAAATCTCATCCCATTCTATGCTGGTTCTCGACATCACGATTTTCACCACATGAACTTCATTGGAAACTATGCTTCAACATTCACGTGGTGGGATAGAATTTTTGGAACAGACTCTCAATTTATTGCCTACACTGAAAAGATGAAGAAGATTAAGAAAAAGGCTGAATAAATATCTATGTAAACCTTCCTGAAGAAACACATTTTCCTGGATTAAAAGTAGTAGCTAACATTGCTTCTGGGGAGCAGAAACAAACATGTCTTGGCTGCTAAGTGATGGAAAAAAATTAACAACCTTTATCTTCCTAGTGGGAACTTTTTCTATTTTCCATTCAAGTTCTGTATGTGTAGAAATAAGAAAGGAAGTTTTAAAGGCCGTGTTGCTAACTTTACAAAAAGATTTGTGTAAAGTAAATGGAAAAAGGATTAACCTGTCTGTCCCTACCATTAATACTATAGACCTGAAGTTGAAGTTGGTCTTTAAATCTTAGTGGCCATTTTAACAACTTTTATTAGTGAATGTTGACCTCATCTTGAACTTTAAACGTTTTTTAGAATTTGCCTAAAGATCAAAATATGGGATGAATGACATCAGTTGATACGATGTGAGTGGGGCTGCAAAATCAGGAATAGCCAACACCAAGAATTTCTACTCTTGTCTGGAGCTGACCGATTTGGGGTGATTTTCTTTGAGAAGTCCTTTTGGGTCCCTACTATTGACATCTATAAATTAAAGCAAATCTGAATCGATGTAAGTGGAATATTTTAGTCTAAAGGTTTTCAGGTTTCTTGAATTTTAAATAAATAAATAAATAAACCTTTATTTCTGCCACTTACTGTTTAATATTTGAAAATCAGGTTTTTATTATACTTAAAACTGTATCTTAAAATTTTGTGAACCTACTTGGTGTATTTGCACTTTGAGCTACTGAAATAAATGTGATTTTTTTGCGTCTGGTTATCTGGTCTCCAATTTTGAACATCAGCTGTCACTTTTTATAAGGAAAAGTACATAAATCATTAAATTATTGTTTTATAATAAAAGGGATAATTTTATTTTTATAAGTGCTTCATTTGCTAAACTTTTTTTTTTTTTTTTTGGTATTTTCAACATGTATTTATCAGGCTGTCCATTGTGGCAAATTCCATTGACCTAATAAATTGGAGGGTATTGAAGCAGTTCTTTACTTAGAAAATGTAAGTTTTCTGTACAGATGGAAAAGTAGAGTTAAACTTTCTAGGGCTGATTTAATCTCAAATATCTAAATTCTAACTCAAATCCAGAGTTGATCATTCTAATTTAGTATATGGTAGTACTGAATTATAAAACATGGAGCCAGTTTTGGGTAAGTTTTTTTTTTTTTTTTTTAAAGAAGCAGAATAAAACAATTTTTTTAAAGGAAACAGAATAGTTCTGTTACAAGGGAAATGAATCCTAATAGGAGATACTTAATCAAGTGCCTAATAGCTTTAAATGAAGTTTCCAAGTTCAGATGTGTTAAATTGCTAAAGAGGGAGAGAATTTGCGAATGTGATTATAAAACCATTTTATAGATGATCAGACAGCAAGTCAGTCATTTCAGACTTTGTCTTTTTCTGTAGGTTGGATTCAGGTTCAGTTTCTTCAGAGAAGCACCTTCCTATTTTTTGTCCGGATGCCATCCTTCTGGGAATCAAGTATGGAAAGGGGACTGAAGATCCCCAGTTCAGTAGGTGCCCTTTCACAGAATCCCTCTGTTCTTGGCCTTATGCACACCTCGCAGCCTCCCTGGCATCTGGAGAGTCCAAAGCTTTTGTTCAATTTCTCAAAAACAAAAAAACCTACGCCTATAGGAGGGGTGATCATGGAGATCTGGGAAAGGGACCTGTGACCTAAAGGCTGTATAAACAGTTTCGGATAAGATAGCAATGCTGGTTTTCAGTATTTTGCAGTACTGTGTTAGAAATTTTTAATTGAAGTACATTATACAAACAGAAAAGCACACAGATTGATGAATGATCATACCCATGTAATCACTACCTGGATCAAGAACTTGCGTACCTCCTTTATCACTTTTGACCAGGAATAAAGTTAAATCATTACCTAGTTTAACAGCTGAACCCACATTATCGGCTAATGAGAGTTTCGTGTCGTGACATGAGACTGCCTGTGGCCTTGTTCTGTTAAATGTATTTTTCATTGATTTGGATAATGCCATTGAAGGCGAGCTTATCAAATTTATGAATATGGCAGAGGACAAAAGCTAATGCTTAGTTCTATATGACAGAATCAAGATCCAACAAATTTTTTGTCTTCATTTAAAGTTCAGCTGCACAAATAGGATGCAAGTTACAGATCTAGATGAGCAGCAATGTGTGTCTGAAAAAACAATTTAATAGATTACAAATAGTAACTTACCTAAAAGTTTAGACAATCTTAAACTGGCTTATCGGCAAGCCGAAAAGATTGTAGAGAGGTTAATGGTCTCATTTTATTCTGCTTCGGTTGGCTGCACATGCAAAAAAGCATTATGTTTTCTATGTCAAATACTATGACTAATATTCAAAAGAGAGTAACTAGGAATGCTTTAAGGTCTAGCAATAATGACAAAAACTAGTTTTAAGTAAATACACAGGCCTAGTGTGAGCAGCTCTATCAAATATGATAGTAGCTAACTGTCAACTCATTACATTTGCCTGGAGCCATGAGGCTTGAGGAAATGGCACAGGACCTTCATAGATCTTGATTTGGAGCCAGACACTGTTGTTTACTGTGTGACCTGTTTATGACCTTGGACAGGTTGCCTACCCAAGTCTTACTGACCATAAAATGGGAATATTAATGCTTACCATGGAAGGTTTTAAGGATTAAACACAGCTTTAAAAAACCCAGCAAAGCGCCTAACATAATAGAAACAGTAGCAACAAAAAGCTGCAAATTAAAGAAGGCAACTGATGTTTGATTTCCTGAGTTAATTGACAATTTTTTTTCAAATGGACTGATAGAGGAATGGAAAATTTGGAACTATTACTTATCCATTTCATCAGAAACTTATTTTTCCATGTGCATACCAATTGATATACTCAGCTTTTACAAATATTTTTCTGTAAAATGTGCATAAAGATACTCAATAAATTAGTATAACACCAAATTCACATTAAAACAAAATAGCTATTCATAGTATAGTTTAGATTTATTAAGAAAAAAACTTTAAAATTTTATTTTTAATTTTATTGAAAATTTTACACTGAATGACGTTTATCAGCCATTCTTTCAGGTTTTTTTATTTTTTTTTTTAATTTTAGTCCAAATGAATCATTTTTTATTTTGCAGCATCTCTTATAAAACCTCAAAAATGAAAATGATTTTCTTTCTGTGAGAAGTGCTATGCTGGATGGAAAGCATAAAATAACTCTGGGACTATATAGTTCAGGGGGCTATTGCCCCCAACAATTTAATTTCTTACAAGACTGAGGATTGACTAGTAATTGTTTCGAAAGCATTAATTCATTGGGATGAGGACAAGTAACAAGAAAGCAACAGTATTTTGAGACTTCACTGTTAAGAATTAGTACCTTTTAATATGGCAGCTGCAGGCTCTATAGCTTTAATGGTTTACAGCCTGAACAGTCCCAGACTGAAAACTTGGCCACAATTAACATTTCATTCTGCCCAAAGGATGGTTGGGAAAAGTTCTCTTCCGAAACAAGGAGAAAGATAGAACTAAGTCACAAAATAACCTTGACCTTATATAATGAACATTACTTAAAAGAACAGCTCTAGTCTAAGAAGTATGTTAAGTCTATAAAGTCTGGAAATAATATTTTTCTTACAGATTGTACATATGCTTTGAGACATAACTTTACCTGTGGTTATAGTCTTTATAGATATCTTGTTTGAGGTTTTACTTGTTCTTGTCTTTTAGATCTCAGATTTTAAGTGTACCCTACCATAATGCCCCATTTTCTTATCTCCAGTGATTAGCCTGAGAGTAGGCACCAAGCCCAAGTCTAGCTGGCTAATCTCAAAATCTTTCCTTGGAATGTTATATATAACCGTTGAGAGAGAAAATACTAAAAGAATCTACAATAAACCCTATAGATGTTCCTCTCACTGAATAGAATGAGGCTAACACAGAGGTTGAGGTAAGACGATAACCCGTAGGTGGATGGATAGATAGATGGAGAGTCTTAATGCTAGTGGAGTCTGGGAAGAAGATGGGAAAGAGACCAGCTCTATTTATGTGAATTAATAAAAGTCTCCTCTCCTTCCCTCCTTCCTTTCCTTCCTCTTATGCCATTTTGAATTCAGTTTATTTTATTCTCAACAAAGCAAGTCCTGACTAGTTCACCTACCCAGGACTTGGAAGTCAGTAGAGCTATATTCCAAGTTTCCTTTGGTTACAAGATGTATTTCCATGTGAACTGGCAGAAGTTGGCAGGGGCGATGGGTTCTTCCTCAAGCTCAGAACAATACTTCTCTCATATCTGCACACATCCATAATCATGAGCTGTTTCCTGTAGTTATGGAAGTGATTGCAACTGAATAAATGCAGATTTTGAGCAAGCGATGTTTGATTTGTTGAGGCTCAAATGGAATATCAAATGTCAACTGAGGAGCATAGTTTCATCTCTTAAAGAATTGTATTCAATCAGGCAAATATTTATTTAGTTTCAATTATGTATGAGCTCTGCTAGGCACTAGGATACGCTAGGGGGCGTGAGAGATATTCCTGCCCTCATAAAATATATATAGTATACTGGAGATTATGGTCGATTTAATAAGCAATTATTAAAAAGCTGAGAAGGGAGAGAGGCACAAGGAACTTTGGGATCACACAACAGCAGGATCTACTCTTGCTTGATGAAGGCTATTAGGGAAGTTTCCCATAGGAAGTAATGTTTAATCTAAGACCTTGACAACAAAAGTTACCCAGAAATGGAGCAGGGAGGGGTTAGGGAGAAAGGGAAGAGTGATCCAAGTAAAGGGAACAGCATGTGCTAAGATCTAGTGATACGGAGTATGGAATATGCCACATACTGCATGAAGAATGGAAGCGAAGGGGGACAATGGTGAGAGAAGTTGGAGAAATAAAGCTAGCTTATGGTGTTCTTTGAAGTTTGTTTCTGAAGCATTTAAGACAAGGGAGTTTGCTCTGCCCTGAGGCGTGCATGAGAGGCAAACCAAGGTGGAAGAAGGGATGATCATGGGGATTTGCAGCTTATTTTCTTTCCATCAGAACACCTATGACTCCTTTGCTCTACATTTCTTCTCCTAGGTAATCTCGTCACTTCAGGGTGCAATTTGAGCCCCTTCTCTATGAGGTGCTCTTGCCCTGGCCCCTGTTGGCTTTCCAGCCAAGCATGGGTTAGTCACTTCTCGGGGTGGATGAATTCAACGGCTAATGAAATCGCAGAGGTGTAGGAAGCAGCCTGAACAAGATAAGGAGATGAGAAACTAGTTCCTAGGAAGAGGTGAAATTAGATTAAAGGGATAGTCCTTGGGTTGTTAGGGTTTCTGCAAGTGTTAAATTAAATATAAACAAAGTCGAGTCAAATATTAATTTGCTGAGACAAGGAATCAGGCAGAGCAAGCAACACATAGAAGCTTGGAAGAATCCTTTATGAAAGAATTTTGAGCAACATGGCAGCCAAACTTGATTTCCTTACACAACCTGGGAGACTTAATGACTCAGTGTGTTTGCTAACACTTCCTGCCACAGGGGGTTCCCACGCAGCTGGGGTATGGTGTTATCGACATTTATTGTATATTGTTTTCAAAGTGTTTTAAAATACCAAACAAGTCGATTTTTCCCAGACTTCAATTCTACTAAATCCCAACTGAAATAAACTCTCTTACACATGGTGATTGGTTCTAGTCAGAGAATATGCTTATCGCCGGATTAGGCAATCTTGAGTCTCTACCTTGGAGAATGAGCTCTGAGCTCCTCTGCCTTGGAGAATGAGCTCTGAGCTCCTCTC